TGGCTGCTTTGTCTTTTGGCTATCTGTTTGAGTTTTTTTCTTTAAAAAATTCTTGATGTTCTATTTCAGTATTGGGCAAAACTGTAGCTGAAAACAGTTTATCAATACTATGTTTCTTATGACCTCATTAATAAAAAATGAACAGACCACCATCTGTGGGGTACAGCGGAGACCATTTATTACAGGCCCGGTTATGACAGGAACCCGGTAATAACAGGAACCCGGTTATGACAGGAACCCGGTAATAACAGGAACCCGGTTATGACAGGAACCCGGTTATGACAGGAACCCGGTTATGACAGGAACCCGGTAATGACAGGAACCCGGTAATGACAGGAACCCGGTTATGACAGGAACCCGGTAATGACAGGAACTCGGTTATGACAGGAACCCGGTAATGACAGGAACTCGGTTATGACAGGAACCCGGTAATGACAGGAACCCGGTTATGACAGGAACCCGGTTATGACAGGAACTCGGTAATGACAGGAACCCGGTTATGACAGGAACTCGGTAATGACAGGAACCCGGTTATGACAGGAACCCGGTTATGACAGGAACCCGGTTATGACAGGAACCCCGCCGGTAATAACGGATTTTTTACATCCCCGTTTTTTTCCTACTCTTTGTCTCTATTAAAAGTTATGGGCAATAACAACAGGGCCTCATCGCAGCCCAACCGGTTATAGCAGGGACAAAGGCTCGTTACAATGTGTAAAAAAGAGAGAGAGAGAGATAAAGAAAGAGAGGGATATTAACGCAGTGATGGAGCAAGCCCACACAAGCCACGCCACTGCAAGCCCATGTAGCGGGTGAACCGAGAGAGGGCTGCGGTGTGCTGCAGACTTTGATCTAGCCCTAAGGCTAACTCCATGCACGTGTAATGTGTCATGTTCGTGGGTACTTGCGGCAAGGGAAACTCTACCCAGGAATATATGTATGGATTAGTCCCCAAACGCTTACTTCCTTTGCGTATCTGATATAACTGGGATCTATTGTTATAACAGGACTTTTGCTCTGGTCCCACCGTCCCTGTTATGTCAGGTTTCCACTGTATATTGTAACCTTCACCGGTGCACACAAAAGATTCGTTTTCAGAAGGGAAGTTCTTTTATGGGGTATTATTATATTTCTGTCTATGTTCTGGGATTCTATTTCTCATTCAGGCAGTGTCAAAGCAGCCTGCCCCTTCTTAAATGATTTTTCTCCTGCCAGAATAGTAAGAATAAAAAAAAACAACTTTAAATTTTACTTTATTGATCCCCGTGGGGTGATTTATTTCACCTAGTAAAGATCAAAACAACAAATGACACATCAATGTTGATTTATTGACAAAATAACCCTTTATTTTTTCCTTACAAGTCTTCCACACAAACTTATCTTATGAGATAAACAATCTCAATCCCAACCAGCACAAGATACATTCCATTCATGTATTCTCTCAACTCAAAAGGTCAAATGAGCAAAAAGTATGGCACATTCTTTTGTTTTAAGACACAATTCAGCATCTGTGAGAACAACTTGATACAAGCATACCTGAACAAAGAAGGCAGGAGTCAGAATAAGTCGTATGTACCTGCCGCATGCTGACCAAACATCTCTTTCTGATTCACAGCCATTCCGAGATATAGGAAGGCGTTTTCTCAGTAGTGTAACTATTTAAAAAAGGCGTTCCTCCGAAAGTTGAATTCGAATTTATTTTAAGAATGGTGAGGTTTCACTTTGGGTTTTTTTCATTCAAGTAAGGTAACTTGATAATATAAGGCTATCGATTTAGCAAATACAAATGTAAAATGTGAGGCCAAAAATGGAAAAAGGCGTTTTGTCAGCTTAGGGCAGATTGTCGGGGCTCATGAGCAAAGAGTCAAAAAAAGAGAAGTCACATTGCTATTCAAAGTAATGTGAACATTAAAATGAACCAGCCAACACCCGGTTACATTTTATATCAGCTGAGATGAGAACAAAGTGGTTTCACTTCAGGGGAAGTCTCGGTGTACCTCTGTGACTTGTGAGGCCACTCACTAATGTTTCCATCTCAATATAGCTGTCCCCTTCGTTTTATGCAAGGAAAATTCTGAAATTATGCAAACTGAGCCCAAAAATGTGAAATTATGCGATTCTGTTAATTTTAACAAAGAACAATAAAGGAAAATAATCAGAAATTATGCCAAAAATAATCAAATTTTGCTACATTACGCGGGGTGCATAAAACCACGGGGACAGATATAGTGTCATCATGGTGAAATCAGGCACTCGTCGAAATAATCAAATCAAAGAAGTCAGCATTTTTCTATTTGTTCTGCAATTTTTACAGAATTTTTTATTTTATGATCTTAAACTTTTTATGGTCATTCCTGTGTGGATTTTCCTGGAATTTGCTGATATTAGAAACACAAAAAAATCACGTAAATTTGAATTTTTGAAGAGCTCAAGCTATGGAAGTCACTAAACTTTGGCGATCATTTTCTTGTTAACTTTCCCTCTGAAACAAAGGGATACCAACTTCCTTCAATCAGAAATATTCAAAATAGATGGCTTTTTCAAAATCAAAAGCAAGACAAATAAACAGGCTTTATGATTATATAAATACCAATAGCTCCAAAAAAATTAATATGCTCCAAAATTGACGAGCGCCTGATTCCACCCTGTCATGACACAAACAGAAATGTGGCTCATTCTTTTTGTAAAGATACAAACAATAGAACATTTCTCTCAGGACGTTAGCCTTCGAGAAGCACTTGGAACAAACTACAAACACCATGTAATAGAGTTGTGGTATTTGCGCGGTGAGTAGTTTTTTGAGACTCACGTGGAGACCTCTAGACAACTGGGAGGATGAAATCAACAAGCTTACACAGAAATGAGGGGGCAGAGTGGTGTCGCTGACTCAAAATTAGCAATTTGGTGGCAAGATTACTGTAAGTCATTTATTTTAGTGATTCTGTGTATGCATCCAAAGAGAGGTTTTTAATATACTTTATATAGGGCCCAAAGAGAATTTTTTTTTCCCCTACTAGTACTAGGTCAAGAATTTTTGAAAAAATATTTTTGTTTGGTCGCTGGCCTGCAGAAGTGCCATGCAAAGTTTCGTGGGCATTGGTAAATTCCTCAAGGAGCTAAATTTTTTTCAACGAGATGAGACGAAAGTGAACAAGTTATAGACTTGACAGCCAAAATGTTCATGTAAGAAATTATATTATTGTATCATTGCCGTCATTCAACATTGTAATTGTAGTAAATTTTTTTTTAAAATGGAAATCGAGTAGGCCTATGTTGTAGAGTTTGATGAGTGCATCAATAGGTCCAAATCTCATTCTCTTCTCAAAATAGGTAGGCTACTGATTCGAAAAATCATTTTGTATTAACATGTCCCGTTCTGCTCAAAATAAATCAGCATAATGCTTCTGAAACCTTGTATTTTTCCATACATGACAATGACGAATGTCGAACTCACAAGATTTTCATACCCATTTTCTTTTCAGAAAGCCTAAGTAAAAGAATTATACACAAGTACAGACTGATGGATGTACAAAAACTCTAAAGTGGTTGAAAAACTGTTGAAATTGTCAAAACACCTCAAAATCACTATACTATTAAAAAGGTCTCTGATCTCATCGTCATTCATCTCAATAACTATAAGTAGACTAGACAGACTCTGGGATGGATCCTGAAGAGCAGAGATGGACATGTTCCGACTGCAGTGACCCCAACACAGTGGACAAGTAAGGACAAGTAAGTCATCTCAATAGCATCATCCCTGTCACAGAAGTCACCAAATTTTGGTCTGTGATCTCATCTGTTTCTTCGAGTGCAAGGCCACTACTCTCCCCTTCGTATCTCAAGCAACTTTGACGATCTGATTTTTTGGGTAAAATTTTCATCCTAATTATGTGAAGACATGAAATACAGTAAATTGTCACCTGAAGTTTTGCCTTTTCTCACTTAAGACAAAAAGCTTTTATCACTGTAAAGAAGGGTCAACAATAGAGTTTCTCTTCAGACTGCTCACTGGGCAGGGATCGCTGTCAGCCTTGACGGACTGATTGTTCTGCTTCTTTAGCAAGCACATCATAAAAATCTCAATAAAATCGATTCGCGACCTCAGTGCTTTCTTGTCATATCTCCATCTTTAATAACAGTGAAAACAGTTCAAATAACAAAGAGTGAGCTTAAGAAGAAGTCACATTTTCACTGTGAAAAAAATGGAGATACACAACAAGAAAGCTCTAGGGTCGCAAATTTCTGAGCCCACTTGCTGTGGAAACAATTGCCCAGACTGACATAAAGGAACAGTGGTGAAACCCAGTCTACCTATCATTCAAGACTTTCAGAAGAAAGATTTCATCTATATATAGATCTATATATGTCACGATGCAGTGGAATCAGGCACTCGTCAAGTTTTGGGCATGGAGTTATTGGTAACATAATAATAATAATAATAGATAGCATTTGTATAGCGCATATCCCCACTCAACAGCAGGCTCTATGCGCTTTACACTATATTATTACCCCAGCAGACCATAGAACACTCCAAAACGTTCTCAGCTTCCCGAGAAAGCATACAGTGCAAGCAGCTGATTAAGCGCTCAAACACTAACAAACTGACAAGATCTTTCGCTGTCTATAGCCGGGTACCCATTCCCACCTGGTTGAAGTGAGGAAAATTTGTGCAAAGTGCCTTTCCCAAGGACACAACGTCGGGCCCCTGACAGGATTCGAACCCACGACCTTACGGTTGCGAGTCCGAGAGCCTAACTACTAGGCCACCGACGCCACTTAAAGCTTAAAACATCTTAAAGCTTGTTCATTTGTTCTGCTTTCGATGAAAAAAAATACTCATCTATCTTAATTAGAAGTTGAGACTTTACCGAAGGAAGGAGGTGAGGTTCATTTGGTTTCAGAGGCAAAATTAGAGAGAAAATGGTCGCCAAAGTTTGGTGATTTCCACAGCCTGAGAGTCCTAAGAAACCGAATAACATTTTTTGTGCCTTTAATCAGCATTTTTCGGTGATATCCACATAAAAATAATCATGTTCTCAAATGGACGTAAAAAGTGTTGAGCCACCAGTTTCTTCAATTTCATTATTCTGACGAGCACCTGATCATCACAACGTTTCACAGATTCTGAATTCTGGTGATGTTGGTGACAGCCTTGATTGGAAATTTCGTATGCAAGAGTGAGCACAGTACGGTCATCAGCACCAGCTTCATCTAGTTGTCCCACTCTTCTTCTTCCTCTTTCTCACGTCTTTCCCTTGTTTGCCTTCTTGGTCCAAAGGTCACTTCCTGACTTGTTTGTGCTTCATTCTGGTGGACAACAAAACAATTCCTATCTACAAATTCAAATATACAGCGGAGGGATTCTTCTGTCCTCTCATTGAGCACAACACTGCATCAGGAAAGGTGTACCTCATTCTCCACACTTTCTGTACCTCACTCTCCACACTTTCTGTACGTCACTCTCCCCGCTCTCTTCCAACCGAAAGACATCTACCTCAGTGAGCAAGTGCAAGTGTGACACAGTCTCTATAAGCTGAGCTTTGCTCATTCATCTGGCCTGAGCCATATCTCAACATAGTTTTAGCACAGACAACCAAATCTAAACATCTGACAGCACTATGTTATGTAGTTGGGGGAAATGTGTAGCCCGACCATGGGGCCGACGGTGCTCAGCCATGTCGCCAGGTAATTTCTGAAAAGAGAAAAATACAACAAAGACACTACTCGTTGAGTTGATGAAACAATGTGTAGTTTTGAATGCACAGATAAATGTAAGTCTTTATCAGATCAAATTTAAAGCACACGACCCGCATCTCTGGTGTAGTGGTTAATTAAGCGCTGTACTGTCACACGCAGAAGACCTGAGTTCTATACCCCAGAGGGAAGAAAATTTTTTGTTGAGAATCTCTGTTTGTCTGCTAGGATGTTGTATCCCTCTCAGCCCAGGTTGGCCCTGACAGGCAGGGTTGGAAGCCCGTCTCCTGAATGATCTAAATTGAGTCCATGAGGGCATCAAAATACTTACATGTGGCACGACGTGGTGGAATCAGGCACTCCTCAATTTTTGGGCATGTGGAGTTATTGGTATCATCTGAAAGCTTATTTATTTGCCTTGCTTTCAATGAAAAAATTATCCATCTTGCTTGAATAGAGGTCAAGATATTTGCGATTGAAGAAGGTTGGGTAGCCTGGTTTCAGAGGTTAAATTAATGAGAAAATGGCAGCCAAAGTTTGGCAACTTCAATAGCCTAAGAGTCCTTGAAAACTGAAAATTACTTATTTTTTGTGCTTTTAAACAAGGGTTTTCAGTAAAATTCACATACATGGAAATGTATTTTCATACAAACATAAAAGATGTTTAGCCAAAAAACAAAATTTCAATAAAAATTGCCAAACTTGTGGAAAAATGCCTTTTTCTTCGATTTCATCATTTTGACGAGCGCCTGGTTTCACCACGATGCCTCACATATATAAACAATTTTAAAAAACAAAAAAAACGTTCATGTAGGTTCCAATTCCAAATGATGAATAACCAGCTTCTGAGGATGAAAGCTTTAGATTATGAAGCAGACAGGAAAATAGAATGGTCGGCATAGAAGTGCTGGCTCTTTGACAGTAAAAAAAACAACAAATTCAGAGACATTGCACTTACATGGGGACTGAATGCCTTTCTGACCCTCCTGTCAGTAAATAAGGCAAGTTTTCTCATTTAACGACGGTTGGTTCGAATCTCACTACAAACATAAACCAGCATGCTTTGTCGCAGACATAATGTTGGCGATTGCTCCACAGACAAAGGGGGGCAACAAAGGAAAGACAAAAGTAGGAGTAAGAGTGACAGCCAGGGGGATCAAGGGAGGTAAGCAAAGTGCAGGGGAAGAGTAGGGAACATTCCTACTTCTCTGTGGTAAATGCAATAAACTGTCGAGAACACAATGTATGACTATATGGCTCATTGCCAAAGAAACAGGTGTAAGAAAAAACCTCCACTGACACTCATCCCCTCATCCTTCTCTACTCTCACCTAAATCTATCCATGAATGTGAACATGATATATCATGCTGAGACCAAGAAAATTAAAACTTTTTTCCACTTCCCTGAAGGTCCATTTTAGCATGAAATGTTTTTCTATAAAAGAGAAGCACCATTTTGTAATACAATAATGTCAATCCAAGCTAGGAAATGAAATCTGAAATACCGTAGTCTCCACCTAAGATCCCACAGCTTACTGTCCCGATTCACTTACTCTTTCACTACTGTGAGCCATGTTTCAAAGCTTGTGTTACTCCTCTAATGCTGGACCGTGAGCCATGTGTCACAGCTTGTGTCACTCCTCTAATGCTGGACCGTGAGCCATGTGTCACAGCTTGTGTCACTCCGTGAGCCATGTGTCACAGCTTGTGTCACTCCGTGAGCCATGTGTCACAGCTTGTGTCACTCCTCTAATGCTGGACCGTGAGCCATGTGTCACAGCTTGTGTCACCTAATGCTGGACCGTGAGCCATGTGTCACAGCTTGTGTCACTCCTCTAATGCTGGACCGTGAGCCATGTGTCACAGCTTGTGTCACTCCGTGAGCCATGTGTCACAGCTTGTGTCACTCCGTGAGCCATGTGTCACAGCTTGTGTCACTCCGTGAGCCATGTGTCACAGCTTGTGTCACTCCGTGAGCCATGTGTCACAGCTTGTGTCACTCCGTGAGCCATGTGTCACAGCTTGTGTCACTCCGTGAGCCATGTGTCACAGCTTGTGTCACTCCGTGAGCCATGTGTCACAGCTTGTGTCACTCCGTGAGCCATGTGTCACAGCTTGTGTCACAGTCCTCCACTTTCTGCTTTAACCCTTTGCCGTCAAATTTTGGGGAAAATCCAAAGAAACTGGGTGGTAAACATCGCCAATCGGCGAGATGAGGTGGTCAAGTGTTAAAACCAGTCCTGTTTTTGTTATAATTGAAACTGAAATCTCAGGCTGAAAATTGATCATTTTTAGCAACACGTTGAGACAGGTCATTATTTCTCTTTTATTTTCACATGCAGTTAACATTGACAATTGAACTAAATATCTGTAATTTGTCTGAGGGTAGGAAGAATCAGAAAGTAGGTCACAGATAGGGCCCGGTCCAGGCGAGGAAAACCCCCTGATAGTGAAAGAGTTAAGATCCCATTGTTTTAAGAAAACAGAATTTTTACAACATGATAAAAGTCATCTCGAAGATCCCACTCTGAGGGATTTTTAAAAAAAAATAGTAGAGGGTTTAACGGCGCTCGCAACTGCATAAAGTCTTATCAGCGTCAAGGGGTGGGTGTCAACAGAGAAGTCTTTACAGGGAATCAGACTTAGACTGCTCACCTCTGTAGCTTCAACAGCACAAGGTCTGCTTTGACTATCAAGGCATCCCAAAATAGCAGGTCACAAGAGAGTGAGAAACATACAAAAGAAGTAGAGGAAAATGACAATAGTGAGGATCAGGAAAGAAAAAGCAGCAGTTCCCTGTTGTAGATCAGGCACAGTTATAAGCGTGACATGAATCAGCCCATTTACAATTCTACTATGCTTGAACGAGAAATGTCCCCCTTCGGGAATGGCCTAAAGACACTTCAGTCAGTGGCACTGCCCCGAGGGGTATCTGAGGGATTGCATTCGGCCAAGATCCCGCACTTCAGATCATAATTTACGGTACAGTTGACAACGACTGAGCTGATGTCGTCGGAGGAATGAAAAAAAGATCAGCTCATCTAAAGTTCAACTTAACCATTGGGACCTACACAGAAAAAGAGGAGCTGGGACCCGAGAAAAAGATCAGCTTAACTACAGATCAACTCAAGCGAGTTCAACACAGACGGAGTTGACAGTACAAAAACCCAGGCAGGAGCAGCTGATCAGCTGTGCGGAGAAAACTTCCCGTCATAATACAGCCCATTAGGTCACAGAGCATCCACTCTTGAGAATATGAAAAATTAAATCAACTAATACCGAAAGCATGTAAAACTTCAACATCTTCATTCCCCTACTTGGATGAATTGTACATAACAGCTTGCACTAAGAAAATTAATTCCATCTTTTTAGACAACAAACATCCCCTGTTCCCTCAAATAAAAACATCAGTCAGAAGTAAAAGACCCATGCTTCTGATCTGTAACAAAGAAAGATACAGAAGGTCATTTTTACCATCATCTATCAAAATGCTTCCATCTTAACCATCTTGTTTAGTGTACTTACGACCTTAGAGCATGCATCAAAATAACATTGAGTGTGTATCTAGCTTACGATTATAATTGTTTATATTGCTGCTCATTTATATTATGCATGTGATTGTAAGCCTACTTGTGTGTGCATGTGTGTGCACGTGTGTACGTGTGTGTGTTTGTGTGTGTGTGTGTGTGTGTGTGCGTGCGTGTGTGTGTACTCGTGGTGGAACACCAAACCAATGTGCCAGGATCTGGACAATAAAGATGTATCTTATCTTATCTTATCTTATCTTATCTTATCTTATCTTATCTGCGCTGTAAATCTTGATGAAACTGTACAATGTTTGCCACCCACGGGATCACACTGAGGTGTGAATTCAACTATGTGATTGTTTTCTCCAAACATTGCTCCCCATCTGAGCCCTCCACCTGAACTTACATCACAAGCTTTGTAGGTAGGGCGTACAAGTCTGCATCAGATGCGATCCCACTGAACTATGAACTACTCTTCCGTGATTCTGTTTCCCTGGCCATAGCAGCAGTTGTCTCTACACCCAAACTGGCTAGAAAGACTGAAGTTTAATTGGTGCAGTCACAATAAAAGACCAAGGGAGTGAGAACTTGGTCAGAGATGGAAAGCTGAAAATTTTGGACAGGAGCAATGTGATCAAAGAAGATCTTGAGACTCACGACTGGATAAGTGAAAATGACATTCCCATTCCATTGTGATTCGTCATTAAGGTAGACCAACTCTTTGCTCACCATAAGTCATAAATTCCCCCCCCCCCCC